GTTTTGGGAACTACTAATGTAGATAAGAAAATTTTCTCCGAACTTATTAACCCACATATTTGATTGATGAAAGATGTAAGTAAATTTAAATATTATCAATAATGATAATATATTCTCGAATTATATATATTTGTTTCAGCATGTCAATGTTGGCATGTCTTTATTGGGTAGAAAATTAGCAAAAGTCTCATGTCCTTTTCATAGTGAAAGATATACACTTTGGATGTGCCATTTACAATGCTGAAATCGAAGAACAACCCAAAGTTTCTAAAAAATCCGAGAAGATTTGCTTGGAGCAATTGTTTTATTGATTATTGTAAGGATGTTTTACTTACTACAAAAGGACTATTAAGAGGCTTGAAATTGTTGTGGATGATGTGTATATGGTGTTGAACATTAACAATGTTCATTGGATAGCTTTGAATATACCGATTCTTCAGCGACACATTGAAGAAGTACACGACAACATTATTTTGCTCTCACGCAATGACAAGACTGAAGAGTTTGTGAAGCCCTATGCGCTTATGTTTCGACATCTTATCAAATCGTTGGCTTCTCCATCATGACAACATGCTTTAAGTGCGGATGAATACACAATTACGAGGTGCAAAAGAATAACGCAGAACAAACAATTAGATGATTGTGAGGTATATGCTTTAAAGTATATCGAGCATCTTTCATTAGACATATATATGGAGCATTGAATATGTGCTGCAAACATCAAACATATTCAAAGAAAACTTGTTATAAATATATTTTTGGAAGCCAATTATTTGAAAATCTTTAGAAGTATTGACCTTTCGGGGTTTTAAGTTTTAGAATGTACTCTTTTATTTTATATTCTACTCAGTATTTTTTATGTTGGATTTATCTTGAGTTTATTGTTTGCTTTCATGTTGGATATTTCTTCATTTTGAGTTTTTTTTTTATAATAGTTTTTTCCAATTTTTACAGATGAATAAATCTTTTGGTTATTTTAATTTGGTTGTTTGGGTGTTACTGTTTGGTAATATGTTAAAGATGTTAAATTGGTAGCAATTGGATCTTGAGTTTATTGTTTGCTTTCATGTTGGATATTTCTTTATTTTGAGTTTTTTTTTATAATAGTTTTTTCCAATTTTTACAGATGAATAAATCTTTTGGTTATTTTAATTTGGTTGTTTGGGTGTTACTGTTTGGTAATATGTTAAAGATGTTAAATTGGTAGCAATTGGATCTTGATTCTCGGAAAAAAAAAATACTGAAATTTTCTTTATATTGACGTATGATTAAAAGTAATGTTGGATGTATTTTATCAATTACCATAATTATACTCATGAAGAATTTTGATTAGTAAATTTTTTTCAATAGGTGTATTTTCTAATTTTCTTAACTCTATATTCGGTTCATGGAAAAAAGGTTATAAAACAAGAGAATTTAAATACGAGATATTGTTTACAATTGTAGTATTTTTCTAATCGTTCACATGCTTCTATTATAGCGTTTCGCCAAATAAAATAAATATGAGTAACAATTTGAGATATTAATATACTAGAGAAAGATAAACTACCAATACATATTTTCCAAGTAGTGATCACAATATCTCATGATGAAATTTTGTAACAAACTCTGGATCACCATGTTGGTTCTCTTCCAAACAAACAATATGAACCTATTGATTATCACAACATAAACAACTTTTTAGTCAATTCAATTGCTCATTGTTTATGTTGTTTGAATATCAGTACAATAATTCATGATCATCTGATACAACAACTCTCAAATTGGTAAAAAATTATTCCTAAGATGCATCATTCTTAAA